GTAGAGAACTATTTTAGGTGGGAAAGAAAATAAATTAGATATTAGTTGTTTAAGGCTTGTTGTTTTTTATGTTAACCGGATAGAGGAATACACTCATTCTAGTTAGAATTAAGGGGTGTTCTCTTGTGGTTGTGTAACTAGTGCCATTTTGTCTGGGGGAATATGTATAAATGTGTATAACATATTTTTCTTCCAGGTTGGGCATCCGTTGGTCGGGTCCCTCTCAGTGCCATGCATTATGCGATAAATAAATTGCTCTCCGCAAATAGAAAAAGGGGCGGGGTATTATGGTAGTGCCAATGGTTGAGCTGCTGGGCTGTATAGTTTTTGTAGCCAGTAAAAGTCTGTTATTGGCATACCCATTTGTGCCAAGCAATGGGTGGCCGGTGGTGGTACAGTTACATGGGTCATAGTGTACCCCCTGTAACTGGTGAGTAGTGTTTTGGCACTCATCAGGGACCTAAGTGTTTGTTTACAGCATTATTCTTGCACTATGTAAATTTTGTTCTCATAAATGTTCGCATTCCTGTGGCAATTCAATTTCTAATGAAAGCTATATTCATTTTGTTTAAAGTTATTGTTATTTCAGTGTTTTTTAGTTAGGTTGGCAGAGAGGGAAACTTGGCCTTGCATTCAGTCATGGAGCAGAATCGCTGCAGATATTCTTTATGAAATAGCTGAACTCACCAAACACTTGGTATTCACAAATATAATTTACTGCATGAAAAAAATTATTTAGATACAATATGATGTGGTAGATAATTGTACTTGAAGGTTAAATGCAATATTTATTTCCTAATCTCAGTGTGTCTCCTGCAGGAACAAAAGAATAAACTCATATTGAGGAAGAAGGAAATTACATCATACAAAAGGGGAGAATACATAGAAAATGAGTGCAATAAAAACAGTGATTACAAGGTGACAACATAACCCTGAATAAAGCATTGGAAATAAACACACATGCCATTGCATTGTCCATATACAAACAAGGACACATTTGTTGGTACCCTTCCACAAGAAAAGAAGACCCCAATATTTTGGGACCTAATTTTTTTTGCACATTCTTTAGAGGCAATTCATGCAAACAAGGGGATTTACAAATTGCAAGGGGATTTTCCCTTAGCTTCCTCAATGTAGTGAAGCTCTGCTGACTTCTATCATCCAATCATGTGCATGCAAAAATACTGTTGTTTCCTTGCTCGTGATTGGGTATTGCTACGTGAATTTTCACCCTATTCACTAAACTAAGGCAAAATTCCCTTGCAAAGTGCCTATTTGCCTTTGGTAAATCAACTCCACTGATTACTTGTAGCTCCTAAAGTACAAAGTTATACACAGCATAAAAGAACAATAAAACGGAAGAAAAATAAAACAAGCATATAATCGAAACCATGCATTTTATAAGATTATTTTTATATCTGTCATGAACTAATCATAGACAGTTATCACTGTAATACCAAGCACAAGACATTCATTGGGCTTTCACAGCCCAGGGTTTTATGCGCAAAGCTTTCATATCTTTTATTGAGATGAAATGTAGGACTGCTATATGCCCCTAACTCAAGGACAAGTCTTTTCAGCTATTCATTTCTTTTCTGAAATTTTCTTTGCAATGAATAAATATGTTGGTTCAGAAATGTTCTCAGTAAAACAAAAACAAAAACATACAATGCAATATAATTATTGAAAGCATGTGGTTTAAATTCTTTTGAAGTGTGTGCTTTGTGCTTATGATGGACATACTGTACTAAGTGTATTAATGGAGTTTTAGGGCAATTTACATTACATGAATAAAATGGTCCATGTGAATTATGTATGGAGTCTTTTAGGATTCATGTTGGCTTACTTTGGTTGATAAACTGCATTTACTCTGTCAAACAAAGCAATGCATTTCTTCTGTTAAACAATGCATAATTGCAGCATCTGGGAAAAAGATTTTAAATTACACTGTTAATATTTGAATTTAATGATTCCTTTTTAGATTTTATCTTAGACTACTTTAACCTGTGAATAAAATCAGAACTTCTGGCAGAGTGTATAGGGAACAGGTCGTGTGCCATTAGCTTCATTGCAATATGTTGCACATAGGCTTCACAAGCTGCACTGGGCAGAAAACGTAAAAAAAACATCCCAGGGGATTAGTTTGGATGAATGACTTAGACTATAGTTCATTGTAGCTACAGTAGAATATATATCATACCATCTGTTCCATGGTTAAAGGTTCATTAACAGTTGCCATATTTAATTTGTATTACTTATGGCTTATTGGTACAAGAAAAAAAAATTATAACAGTGGTCAGTTTAAAAGGGTGTCCCATATTTTTCCTAACATGTTCCCAATTTGAAAGGGTAAAAAAAAATTAAGCACTATTGTTTAAAAAAATGACCAGTTATATGTTCTGTATATTTACAATATACACTGAGTGGCCAGATTATTATGACCACCTGTAGTTTGTAGGCAAATTAGCTATAATTTTGCGCTGAAGTTGCTAGAGTGCCAGACCATTATAAATAGGGAAGCAGGTTGTTTACCACGACAGTAGAAGTGATTTTTTTTCTGAAGATATGGGTAAACAACGCGATTTAACAGCCTTTGAACGTGGGATGATTGTTGGCGCTCGGAGCCATGGGGCGAGTATCAGCAAAACAGCAGAATTCGTTGAATGATTCAAGAGCAGCTGTTGTTAAAGGGTTTAAAGACTGGACTGTCAGCCGAAAATCTGGGTCTGAACGTGCAAATTGTGGCCATCAGCGACTAGTCAATGTTAGGGCAGAACGGAGAGTGGCATGACTGGTACAAGACAACATAAGGGCAGCAGTGTAGTGTCAGATTCCTTGCATCACATTTCAACATCTCGTAGAGTCACGAGGCGGCCCAACAAAGTCATCTCGTGGAGTCACGAGGCGGCCCAACGAAGTACTAATGGGGTGGTCATGATAATCTGGCCACTCAGTGTATTTCTTCCTAAATGTAAGCTCATCCTAGGGATTGAATCCCCCACTGGATTTCTATTTCAATAAAGTAAATCTGTCACAAACCTGGATCATTTCCACTAAGCATGTAATTAAACATGCACCGCCAGAGGTTAACTTTAATAATAATAATAATATTTAAAAAAACAGATGTTGAAACAAATAATAGAGAGATAGGTAAAGTTATACATAAAGCTGGACTGTTCCTGCAAGATTTGAGCTTATCCCCAGCATTTTTGCCTACTGAGCAACTATGTTAGTATTTTAATGTGAAGGGCAGTCTCAGGGATGAATAGAGACATGCTCGGCTTCTACAAAAAAAAAAAAGCCAAGATCATAAGCCTGGATCTAGTTATCATTATAAAATGTGATTTTTATTAAAGATAGCTTCAGCTTATGCAAACAACATAACAGTGATCAACTGTTATTTTTTTTGTTTGTTCTTTTTGTTTCTCTCCTCTGTTTTCTTCATGAAATGGTAATCGTTAGACAGAAAACTGTGGTACTGGGCATCAAGGGTGTTAGAAGGGTGTTACTTCAATGGCTCAAGTGGTTTTATGAGTTGGGGTAAAAAGGCGTGGATTCCACTGTGGAAGTAAGTAAAAGAAGAAGGGAAAGGAGTTCTGACTGTAAATTAGATGGGATGAAGCGTTGCTTATTACCCAAGGTGGTTTGGGAGGACAGAGGAGAGTTTAGGAGGGTGGCTATGGGGTTGATGTCTGGGGGGGGCAGATTCCATGGGTGGTCCGGCCTCCCATCCCAGAAGGGTCAGGGGGGCAGAGTGGTGAGAGACCCATTAAATGAAAAGAGAGGCAGATGGTATCAGGTTAACATTAAAAAGTTTATAAAAAAATAAATAAAAATAAAATATTTGAAAAATGTTGAAAAAATTAAAATAAAAAAACATTTTCGGTTTTGGTTTTGGCCTGACATTTTTTTTTTTAATTTCGATTTTGTTTCGGTCTTGAAATGTCCATTTCGGTGCAGCGCTATCTATTACATTAACTATCAAAATAAGTGTCAATAGGTAGAGTTACACCTACATAGTTTTAAAAAAATCAAATCACCTAGAACCAGACAAAGAAGGACAGCTGATCTGCCTTTGTTTAATGGCTTTAATAACTTGATGAACAATGGGAATACTTGTTATTTTGAGCCTGGTTGCTTTGGTGATCCAGCTTCAAGGTCAGGTGTGGAATCATGTCTGCCATTAAAAAAAAAAAAAAAGTTGAACACTGGTTGATCTTAAACTCTGGATTACTGGGGGGGTGGACTGCAAAAAAAGCTGGCAGAACCAATTCCATGATTCTCCCTTATCTGTGGTAAATACCATAGAACCAGGTATGGTTTTCCATCTCTAGAGCATGTAGGCATAAATTTGGTGCCCTAAGTAACACCCTCTGTTAGAATTATTTATTTTTCACAAATATATCCTTGTTTACCCTAACCGAACATAGCTTGGAATATTAGGTTAATATGTAAATAATCTAATATGATATGACTATTCCGACTGATGTTAGAAAAAAGTGTGGTCAATAATTATACAGGGAAAAACCAACTCTTGGCCTTTGTGGTCTATAGGCAGATGTCTACTGTGCCTATTGATAAATCGAGCCCTGTATACAAGTACTGCCTGGCAACTTTAATAAGTTCATATTCTCACCATTCAGAAGATAAGAATATTGGCCCCAAAGAAAATTCTAGGATAAAAGTAAGAACCATGCACCATGTGACCCATGAATGTTTATGTACGAATGGCATGTAACAGTAAATATCTCATTTCACAACATAATATATAATTGTTAAGTGAATTATAAAATAAAAACAACCCTGCAACTCCAAATGTTTTGTATATTTCAAAATAACTGACATAAAAGATCACAGCAGACAGAGCCATATTACATTTTTACCTATGCAGCATATCTGATTTGTTAAATACTGTATTTGCAGTGCTGTAAACATGCACATAGATAATACAGAAGCATTTTCCTTGTGTTCATAAGGAAACACTTTTACTTATAATTTACCTGGTATGGTTAAGCTCATTATTAAAGCTGTCTGTGTTCTTTTCCCTATGTCTCAGGTACACAGAGGATCCAGGTGATAAAGGCTTAAAAAGAAAAAAAAAAGTCAGATTTAGATAAGCCTTCCTAAAAGCTCTGATCAGAGGTGTGCTAATTATTATATGCATATTGTGAGCTTGGAAAGTTCCTCCTAATGCCTATAAAGATTAATGTAAACCTGTGATATATAAGAGCTGCCATTGCTAACTTATTTTCAGACATGGTTATTCCAGGGCTGTCATCCTAATCCTGGCTTCACTGCCTTGTGGGTCATTTATGTGAAGCAACCTATTATTTTGTATGCATTATTCATTTATCAAATTCTTTTAACTGACAAAAAATAAATAGTGCATTGGTGTGGAATAATTATTTGTCTACATGAAGGCTTTTGGGGATAATGGGAACATAGGTGTGCACACAGGGTGAGCTGGGTGTGCTTGGGCACACTCTAATCCCCTCGAGTGCAACACCGAAATTGCAACAGCGGGCACCATGTTTTAAGTCATTGAGTCAGTGGAGAGATCACAAAGACCACCATAGCCATACAGAGCGCAGCAGCACTTGCCACTTACACTTCTCACATAACAGCTGCAGTCCTCCTCAGTGCTTGGGAAGCTGTGAAGGTGCATGGGTGGGGCTTCTCATCCAATCAGGAAGCTGGGCGGCTGATCACATAACCAGGCTTCCTGCTTCATTACTGCACCCATGCTGGAAGATGTAAGGGACAGTTGAAAAGATGGGAATCCTGGATGCCTCAGTTCTGTGTATGTATTTATGCATGTATATATATATATATATCTATATATAGATCTATATATAGAT